GGGGGGCACAAATTTATTTAAAAAACAACAAAAAATTTTCATAATAGTAACAACCTTATTTAGAAAAGTGCAGCTAAACATACCTTTTATTTGCCCAAATGAGTAAGAATTTTTTGAAGCCGTAAAATTTTTTTTCGAGATGCCAACTTTTGAAAGAGCTGCATAATAACTTCATCATCAATGCTCATAAAAATTTCTTTCTCAAAGTAGCATAATAGACAATCTGATAGCATCTCATCTCCCAAACGGTTGCGTAAATCCGTCTTGACAATATTCATCGCAGAAAAACTCCTTTCAACTGAAGTTGTCCCAGCAGGTAATATCAATGCCAATTCTATAAGCCGATATACCAAAGGAAAATAAGTGTGATAATTCATCTCCACCATCTTCTTTGCAAGACTTCCAAGATTGGAGATATTAGCAAAAACTTCATTCGATCTCATGTCAGAAATATAATTTTGAAGTTCATGAATAAGCTGAACTCGATCACAAGAACTGAAATCTTTTGAATATAATACAGCAAGTTCTAATAGTCGATCTTGATCAAAACTCGCAAAGCAATTTGAAGGATCAAGACACATTACACATCTTAGTAAATTTGTGTTTGTCTCTGTGAAGTGTCTATCCATTTCCGTTGCAAGAATATCAATGACCTAACATCAAATAAATAATAATAATAATAATAATAACTTAACCTCATTGCTTATGATATTAAAATACTTCCAAAAAATCATATTAAAATTTAAAATTAATAAGAGTAATATACCTTTGCAAAGATCTCTCCACGAAAATGTACATAGTTTGTCATGGGTTCACCTACCTCTCATCTTCTTTCTTGATCGCCCACGAAGATTGATACAGATAATTTATTCAAATATTTCAATTAGCTATATAATTATTTAGTAGTTATTTATTATTATTTATTAATATTCTATAGATTAGGGTTTTTTAATGGGGCCCAAGCCCATTAGGTTAATTAGGGTTTCTCGTATTTCTATATATTGTACTCTCGTATTATTATTATGGAATCACTGAATAATCAAGAATTCTCTTAATCTCTCGTCTCTCTTTTCTTGGATCCCGGAAACGCTCGAAGTTTTCCTTCTCTCTTTGCCTCCCTTTTCTTGGAGCCCGAAGACGCTCGAAGTTCTTCCCTATTCGATACGATATTCGTATCAATTGGTGCTCTCATTGTTGAACTCACCAAAAATAAAACCAAAAAAAAATCATTGTCATAGGAATCCGAGATCCAGCGACAAAGTAAGCCACAACTTTGTCCCATCGCCCCTGTAGGGACACAAGATTTGCAGCCGCCGTTGCAAAATTTTGTTTTGACCAAGCACAATAGCCTAGCTATTTACGGAAAAAAAGAAGTTGCAGTAGAGATATCATCCAATTGGTTCAGTTGCCGCACAAAGGAAGCAGATTCCATAAAGTTGGCAGATTTGAGGCTGGCGTTGTGGTTCAATTTTTAGTGCCAATTGTTGTGGCCACCAAGAATTTGCTCAAGGATTTGAGAGTGATCCACATAAATTTGGCTATTGTAACAAGGATTTGTTCAGAATTTGCTGTGGTGCCAAATCGAAACAGAAAAAAAAGTCACCAGGGAAGATTTGTATTTTTTTTTAGATCGGAGGAAGAATTTGGTTAAGATCCAGTATAATTGTTTAAAGAGATCCACTATAATTGTTTGTGGCAGCCGTCGGATCAATTTGCACCGCACTCCAAGAAAAAAATGCAACCCAATTTTTCTTTTCGAATGGAGGCTCAATTCAAGCGGTTAGAGATTTTGATCGTGTGTACCCATGCATTGGAGAAACTTATTGCTCTATTAGAGAACGTTCTTTATGGTGAAATTGAGCACGACGACGGAGTGTGCACACTTTACGTTCAAATAGATGAACTTATAAAGAATCTCCAATCCTTCCGTTCTATTGCAGGTAAGCCAAATTATGATTCTAACTTACATGCATTTGACATTGAAATCTCTTGCGCGATACAAAATTTGGTCCGTGGGCCCCCAATTTGGCCGAGTTTGATTCCTTGGGAGTTACAACACTTTAGAACAGGCATGTTGGGCGCTATAAAAGTTCTCATTGGTAGTCCGCCTTCTGTGCCAAATCTGGTCTCTACAATAATTGACCAAAATGGTGAAGCACATGATCACGCATCCAAGAAGGAATCAAGCGTTGGCTTACAAGGTGGAGATGATGTGGACATCCGGCATGAAGCCATAAACAAAGATAATGGGAGGTCCAGCGTTGTGGAGAAAAAAGAAAGTCCTGTTGCTGAAGATGTTGCTAATGTCGACAAGCCAGATCATACTTTTCAGGAATTTTCTACCTCAGCTGGTGTGGTCATTGCAGAGTATGATATTCTAAAAAGTGTTGACAAAGTGACAGATGGAGATGGTAAACAAGCACACTCGCCTATGTTGATTGACACCATCACGTTGTTTGAGCTTGTCATTGTGGTCAAGATGGAGCACCTGATTTCGCCAAGAGCAACTACATATGTTCTGCGCCCCGTCTCATCTTTCCATCACTTTGCTCCAAGATCCAAGATGGTGAAAGATTCAAAGGGTAGACTACTCCTTTGGTTCAGCATTCTTTCTCCGGTCCTAAAGCACGAGTGGGAGCCTCCACCTTGAGGACAAGGTGGATTTTAAGGGGGTGGGAATGATACAGATAATTTATTCAAATATTTCAATTAGCTATATAATTATTTAGTAGTTATTTATTATTATTTATTAATATTCTATAGATTAGGGTTTTTAAAATGGGGCCCAAGCCCATTAGGTTAATTAGGGTTTCTCGTATTTCTATATATTGTACTCTCGTATTATTAT